GAAGAGAGGAACACATCTCCCAACTTGCGTTGTCATGGTTACCCTTGCGGGATGAAGGCTGAACATTCCTTGGAGAACACGTGTTTACAGTTGAATGATTTGAACTTGTGAATGAAATATTAGGGATTTCAATTGAATATTTGTTGTGTCTAGATTGTTGCTTGTGAAACAAGGTTAAAATTATGCTTGAGTAAGATTTGGTTTTTAAATAACAGATTTCGTCTACAACGCTCCTATTCTCTAAAATGTTAAGGAAAATGGCCTTGTAACTAAAACTGCATAACTGCTAAATGATGTTAGAAATCATTAAACTGACATAGCACTAGCTGCTGAATAAATTGTTTTGCTTCATTGTCATGAAGCTGTTGGTTGTTGTGGTTTGTATCCCTTAAGAGGTGCTCCGTGATTGGCCAGAAATGTTGATAATTTCACCATTTGCACACACTATACAAGGTTTTTATATTTGATTATACTTTTCAATTGTTTTAAATGACACAAACCTTCATTAATTCTGCCATTTTAAATAATCTTACTGTGAATATTAAGAAGGTGTCATCTAAAAACATGTCATAAAAATACTAAGTGTGAGCTCCAGGGTTCAATCCGACCATATGACCATTTGTTTGATTTGTGGAGGTAAGAGGAAAGTTGATCCTGAACAGAATCCAGAGCACTTATCCGCTGGTTTCAGATAAAGCTTAGTATTGCTTGGGAATTTTCTGGGACGTCAAACCCCCCATACAGTGACTTACTGTATTTTTTTTTAAATTACTGTATACTACTGTATTTGCCGTAGTCTGTCTCTTTGGCGCCATTCTATTGAGGCTGCTTTATTTTCCTCATTTCTCACATTTGGATTGACAAGAGTTGACTTACACCGTGTCTACAACGCCGCAACAGCTTGGGACTGACTACGCTGGATGTTACATCGCTTGTAATGATTGGAAAATCCGTTTGTCTTGGTCCTTCGTGTCAGAAACAGCACGAGCGCTTGGAGTACATCTGTACGTCAGAAATATACCGGGGCATCACTTTACTGCTCCATACGGTATACGGTTCTATATTGCCTTTTGTTGAGTCGCGCCGCGGCCCGGGGATGAACCCGCGAGAGTGGAAGAGTTCCGGAGAACACCTGCGCTGTGTGTCGCACCTTACGAGAGAATAAGACCTGTAAGCAAGGTAAAAAATATATATGTATGTTTGTCTGTGTGTTTGTGTCAACATTTTTGCACACCAGTTTAACCTAACAGTTAGTAACAAACCCTTTGAAATGTCTAACAGTGCAGGCTACCTCACATTTAGGTAGGAGAAATACATTTCATGTACAGTACAAACCTGTTGGGTTCGTATAAAGCAAAACAGGTATCAGAGTTTGATTTTGCTTCCTAGGTGATAAGTCTCTTTCTTCTCTACGACTCACAGACTTGGAAATAAACCAAGCTCTGTGAGGTTATGGCTACTTGGTTTTTCAGTCACCCAACACTCTTTGGCTTCCATTAAACATATTACCTTACAGTGATGTGTATGTGTGTGAGAGTTTGTTTGACAGGAGGAGGAAATGACTGCCTGAAAATGGTCAGCACGAGAAAGCCCAGATTCCTTACAGTCTGTCTAAATCTGTTAAACCATTGTTACAAGATTCATGGAGCTTTATTGGAATGAAAATAGTTGAACATCACCAGAGAATTGATAATATACATTGAGATTTTGGGGATTTGATTTCTGTTTGGGTGAATGTCACAAATCCTGTCAAGCTGGCAAGGACATATTTCACCCTAAAACTAAGGGGGGGGAATGATCACTTAGTTATAATTTTAATACTTACTGCTTTAGTGCATATATATATATATATATATATATATATATATATATACACGTGCATATATATATATATATATATATATATATATATTATAGGCTATATGTATATCTTAGTAATTGTTTATTTTATATTTATTTATGCTTATTTAAATGGAAATTATAGTGTTTCGTATTATATAGTAATGGAAATTACATACAGGAGGAGGAAATGACTGCCTGAAAATGGTCAGCACGAGAAAGCCCAGATTCCTTACAGTCTGTCTAAATCTGTTAAACCATTGTTACAAGATTCATGGAGCTTTATTGGAATGAAAATAGTTGAACATCACCAGAGAATTGATAATATACATTGAGATTTTGGGGATTTGATTTCTGTTTGGGTGAATGTCACAAATCCTGTCAAGCTGGCAAGGACATATTTCACCCTAAAACTAAGGGGGGGAATTAAGAATATTTTAAGCAACTCTTGCCTCCAAATTCTCGTTACCATAATGGAGAAAAAAAACGAATTCACATTATTAAAATATAGAACATATAAATGCATAATTAATTCTAACTATATATATATATATATATATATATATATATATATATATATACACGTGCATATATATATATATATATATATATATATATATTATAGGCTATATGTATATCTTAGTAATTGTTTATTTTATATTTATTTATGCTTATTTAAATGGAAATTATAGTGTTTCGTATTATATAGTAATGGAAATTACATTAGATGCATTGACAGTTTGAGGGGAAATGTGCTTAACTGTTTTGAAAGAAAAAAACGTAATTATCTCTAAAATATCTAAGTTTCTAAGGCATTTATTTATTTATTTGTGGGGTAAATTATGACCTGGTCATTTTTTGTGAGATTTGCACACTATAATTTTATTATTTAATAAAAAAAAATACATTTTTATATACAGATATACACAGAATGCTTGTTTGGTTGTGGGTTGAGCTTAGATTTCAGTAATAACTGCCTCCACATATACTGAAACAAAGGGAAACTGTTGTGGAGTCAGCAGGCAAGTTTAACATCCTCCTGCAGGTTAGCAACATGCTCACCGTCTTCAAACTAAAGCATTAAATTACACACCACCTGTGGCTATTATGAAACAGGAGAAGCAAATAGCACAGCAGAGACATGTTTACATGTCTGAGCCTGAGTAAAACAGAACAAAACCCTCAAACTGTCATCCCTACCTCTTCTTGCTGTAATAGATATGTGGTAGTAAGGTGATTCTCTCCAGTGTGGATGCTATCATTGCATTGAAAAATTTGTCAATGTCTGGATTTTTTTTTCTCCAATTGGCTGCAATAGAGTAATTTGTAATGTTGAGTGGGATGCAACCTCAGCTGTTTTTAATGGAAGTGAAATTTCCATTGTATCAGAGTTTATGTATAGGATTTCCATGGTTGTAATATCATAGGTCACACTACGGTTTTTCCGATTCTTCTTCGTGAACGAACAATTCGTTTGAGTCTTCGGTTGAGTGGGATGCAACCTCAGCTGTTTTTAATGGAAGTGAAATTTCCATTGTATCAGAGTTTATGTATAGGATTTCCATGGTTGTAATATCATAGGTCACACTACGGTTTTTCCGATTATTCTTCGTGAACGAACAATTCTTCGCATCTTTTCAATGGATCAGTTCACCTAATTATTATTGAACAATTGCAAATAGCAGTTAACTTGATTCACGTGATGTGATACACCTTGTTATTAGCCTGTACCTGTGATTGTTGATCAGTTAGTTGATCTAGAAAAATGGAAAAGGTAGTAATTTTCCAGGAATTTATCCGTTATCCATTATCTGTTGTAACCCGAAAACACAAAATACAATGTGTAATTTAAAATGCTGGTAAAAAAACTGTGAAAGATCAATACGGAAAATTCCTTCATATAGTAGACTACAGACTTTTCTTACAGTGAATTTCATACAGTGACAATTTTGCATCGTGATTACGTGATGACATCATCGCGCAATGACATCACAATGTAATTTAGCAACTTTTAGCAACAAATCGACCTTCCTTTAGCTACTTCCTAAGAAAATTAGTTGGCAACACTGAAAACCAGTGGGAATGAGGATGAGCCTGATTGTGCCATGCGAAATAAACTTCAAACGGCCCTGGTACAAATAGCGTCTATTCAACCAGAATGACAACAAGTGAGCAGCGATATATTAGGCTACTTCACAGAAAGTGGAGAATGAAATTTACCCACAAATCAGTGCGCGTCACGCCTTTACGAAGCTGGACGAAAATACGCTGTAAAACTGCTTCGGAGTTTGTTTGACATTCGAGTAGAATGCGACAGTTACAATGCAACGATTATGGGTTAAGTTATGAAGAACATCCGATATTACTCAATGTGTCCAAATAAACTCGTTTTGTCAAGTGATCTGAACTTCGAAATAACCTTGCACAATCACTGTGGAGCGGTTATGGGGCATGTGAATCAGTCGCAGCTAATGATTTGGATCTCGGGTTTAAAGGGGTCATATGATGTTGCTAAAAAGAACATTATTTTGTGTATTTGGTGTAATGAAATGTGTTTATGCTGTTTAAGGTTCAAAAAACACACTATTTTCCACATACTGTACATTATTGTTTCTTCTCTATACCCGGCCTTTCTGAAACGTGTCGATTTTTACAAAGCTCATCGTTCTGAAAAGCGAAGTGTGCTCTGATGTGTGGCCAGCTATCCAGTGCGTTGTGATTGGCCGAATACCTCAAGCGTGTGTGACTCTTAACTTTTATAAAGAATATCTCTTTGGATTTGAGACGTCTTTGCAACTTTGCAGATCTTCTTTATGCACCAAGAGCTTGTAACACTCCAAAGAGAAAGGAAATTGCATCATATGACCCCTTTAAATGACTTGACAGCAACACAGTCGATAATGGTCATCTGAAGGGAGAATGATCAGTGAATAACAACTTATTTTTGGTCCGTTTTTCACACAAAACTATCATATGACTTCAGACAACTTGGAATATGTCACACTTGTCGAGTGGACCACTTGTATGGTGACTGGTATTTTGACCAGAGATTGTGACTGCAGTACCTCTTCATTGCCATTAGAGGACATCACTATCTGAGCTGCGGGAGCATCAAGGTAAATAACCTGCTTTACACACCGTGAACCACACAGGCATCGTCACGCACCGGCCTGCAGGGACCCACCGCATCTCGACGAGGAAAAATATAACACGAGAAATTTGACGCAAACCTATTTTTCATCCAGAGACGTTAAGATAATGTTTTTCTCCGTCCCGCATCCCTGCTGGAAGAGGATGTCATTATTTTCAAGCCGTTGTCTCTGATCAAGGTGAGGAATGGATAATATGCGGAGATTTCAGCGGAGAATAACATGATCACCTGCGCGTTTTACTCTTTAAATGACATTCCGCATCCATCCAAGCCTGTGTTTGGAATAATAATGATCTTATCCTTTCTATAACACAATAATGTTCTTTTATTACAATAATTGCATCACCTTATACAGGCAGGTCAAATGAACTAACGCGCAAACGCGCTCTTTGTCTGGTTACGGGCGCGCGCTCAATCAGTCAATCAATCAATCCATCGCCTTATTTGCGCTTCCACGCGCGTGGAATGCGTCGAGTCTAACGAAGCATCTTCGAGAGGATCAATGGAGCCCTTCCTGCAGATCGCGCCGCACTCTCTGGCCATCGTGCTGTCGCGCGTCGTGGTGGAGGACGCGCCCGGGGTGACGGAGAGCGAAGAGCCGCCGCACCATCACACCGGCTACGAGATATTCGCCGACTTCAAATCACTGAACATGAAATATTTCTGGAATAAGATGGTGGCCGATGCCATAGCCGAGACTTTCTTCCTGGGCTGGATAGATGAGCATGTGTTACTGATCCAGGGGAAGGAGGATCACCTGGAGGTGTTGAGGGAGGCTTGGATGAGGAGATCCCTCAAAGCACCGCAGGGCTTCGACATCAAATACCTCGGTAAGAATCTGGTGCATATGATGTTTATACAACGATGAGGGCTTCATTAGTGACCAGTCTTGCTCCTGGAGATCTTCCATCAACAAAGTACCATCGCATTACCATGGTTTTGAACATAGCACCAGGGTAGCACCATTGGTTTTGGACATGTTCTGTGATAATTTCACGCCACTGTTTTGGGCTGTCATGTTGTATGAATATGTTAATCATTCAGTGCCATGGTGTGTAGCAAAGTACCCTTGTATTATCATGCTATGTTATGATATTATTTGGGTTTTTGGACAAGCACCATGGCAGTGTCACGGTTCTTTGGATATGTGCCATGGGTATTTTACTTTTTTAATTTGGTAGTTTATAGTTTTCTTTGACATACATTGCAGCTCCATGCAAATACTATGGTATATGAATATGTCAGTCATTCAGTACCATGGTAAATGTCAAAGTACCATGCTATTATGTACTTTTTGGACATGTACCATGGTAGTGCCATGTTTTTTGGGGGGGAATGTGCCATGATAATTTCATATATGCATTGCTGATTTTTAGAACATCATGTAAATTCCATGGTATGTGAATATTTTTGTTGTAAATATGTGTTTCAGTATTGTAAGTTGTATTTCTAGCTGAGATCTAAACATTTCATGATGGTAGATTTCTAGGAATATAGTTGACCACCTCTGACGTTTATATTTTAAAGTACTTTTGGGTTGGATATTGCACTAATATGCAACCATTGAGCTTTTTTTAAATTAATATTTTATTGTTTTAGAAAACATGATTTGCTTGTGCTTGCTTCTTCTGTGATGGGTAACTTAACAAATTAATATTTTTAGGTTTTTTTTTTTATTTTTTTGCCCAAACCCAAAGTCGGCTGCTTTAATGTACAGTTAGTCAATGATTTAAGACCATAATGTGAAGTCCAGGGATCTACAAAAAAAAAAAAAAATTCAAATGAACTGTAAGTAACCAAGCAAATATTTAAGAACTGCAGTTCTCTGTAGAAATGATTATCGATTATGATTCCTCAAAAAAAATCCTCAAAGGACTTCTTAGTAGACGGGGTGTTATAAAAACATTCGGATGTGCATTGCTGGCTTCCTGTCGTCGTATACTCCCTGCAAATGCACTGCTTTTCAGGTTTCGGACACAGCCTTTGTCTTCAGCTGTGAGATATTGAGGAATTTGATCACCTGTAACCCGAAACCTTCTTGTGATCATTAAGGCAGAGGATGCATGTGTTTGTTCTTCTCTTAAAGGAACAGGCCTTCCCTTCAGCGCCAAGGTTGTTCTATTGCACGTTGTGAGAATTCTAGTACACATCTAGTCTTAACAGCTATCTGAGTAAAGGTTTTGAATGTCTCTTTGGATATATTCTTAGATTTGAATTTGTGAATGAAGCTGATAGACACATCCTCATCAAGACCCCTGATGTTCAGCTCCATTATTCAGACTAATTAGTGCAGAAAACTTCTGTCCCATATTCAGCCCCATGGACACACACTGAGGACAGCAGCACTCTTTATCTGTAGCCATTACTGCTGCTGCTGTAGCTCTGTAGATTATGGAACAGATCTGTGTATTGTGGCATGTTCTTAGTAGAGTGGAGAGAAGAGGAAGGAGCCTTGGTCCTTGACAAACAGCAGGTTTTTGAGGAGTGTCGCTGTAGGCGTCAGGGTTTTCTTTCTTCTGTCCTACTCTACTTGTATCTCTCCCTCTCGCTCTATCCCTGATCTCCTGCCCCTATTTTTGCAGGAGAAAGAGCTATGCTGTATGCATCTCTTTGTGTTTGACATGTCTTGCGGAACAGCTAAGTTGTAGAGGAAAAACTGTCTATTGATGGACAGAGACATTCTTCGCACATTGACTTCATACAAAATAGATCATTTTAATATTGTTACAGTGTTTAAGACAAGAAAAAGAGTTCAGAAAGTGATCGGTAATGAGTTTTCCATAGCGTGTAAAAGTTCTGATCATCCAAGAGAAGAAAAACATCAAAAAAGTGTTTAAAGTGACTATTTTATATTCCATTGTATGGAATTTATTAGAACTATAATTACGCCTGTGGTTCTCAACCAGGGGCCTGAGCAAACTTTCAAGGGGGCTTCAACATGACTTAAAACATGGCATACAAGCATTAAATAAACTAGAACTCAAGACATTTTTTATTTTCACTTACTTTTTTTATTTGAAGAACCAGTGTTCCCACACAGTCCAGGTAAACCTGGATATATTATTTCTAGACCTAGAATTTTTTTTTAATTCATGAAATCTTTTAACTCCATGAGCACTTTTATAATGAATATACATTTTGTGCAAACAAATCATGTGGTCTTTGTATATTGTGGACAGTGGGGGGCCTTGGAGTCAAAAAGGTTTAGAATCACTAAACTAGAAATAATTGCGCTTGTAACTTGGCATTGTGTGCTACAAATATTATTGGCTTTCCAAGTTGCTTTTGATAGGCACATTTCCTAAATGACTAAACTGTGTGTGCAGAACTCTGTATTTTTAGAATCAACTAGTGATTCTAAAATCAACTAGTCAGTTGCTGAATGATCAGTAAACCATCTCGAATAATTAGGTGTGTTTTTGTGTGTGTGTGTGTGTGTGTGTGTGTGTGTGTGTGTGTGTGTGTGTGTGTGTGTGTCTGTACAGGCTGAATCCGGGGAGGGGAGAGAAGGCCATGCCCTCAACTGACTATACTGCTCGTAAATCTCACCCAAGTTTGAGATTTTCATGTGCAGTGATCCAAGACATTTTTATTGCACTGAAATCCTGAGCTCAGTAATTATAAGAGAAACTAGAAACCCACTCAGAACAGTATAAAAGCGGCATTTAGCTCTGTACGTTAGGACTGTGCTACAATGCATTGCTTTTAACTCATGACACTTTAGAGCAAACTCATACAGTTTCCTTTCTCAGCCTATATGTTTCAAAATGTAATTAGCTCCCCCCCCCCTTGAATCTACGTGCACACATGCTGATACAGCCTTTCTGTACATTTTGCATTCTCTTAAAGTGACTGTGCCTAATTTAGCTGCTGTCAGTGTCCTTAATGTTAATCCAAGAAAAAAAAGAGAGATATCACTCACTGCTCTTGACTAAATACCTTTTGTAGCTTTTTGTCGCAATGATTAATCTATATTTATTTTAGATTTACAGTGAAGAATATGCAATGCTATTTTACATTTGATTATTGAATTCTGTAGGCTACCTGAACACATACCAACCTAAAGCATCGTTCTTTGTTCTATTTATGTATTATGTGCAATTGCTTGTAATTTGTTCACATGCTTGTCTTTAACAATGTTTGAACTTTATATTTGTTAGGCTAGTAGTTTATGCTGTGGAATTGGAATTGAGAATTGTAAAATGAAACTGATTTTAACTGAAATGTAATGTAAAATTTTGGTATCTTATACTAATTCATTAGACTACAAAGATAACAAAAACTATTTAATATTTTTGTGGCAGGGCCAGTGAAAATTTGAACCACTGGCCCCAGTAAAAAAAAAATCCTTAACGTTGAGCCGTGTGTTTGTGTGTGTGTATGTATGTATGTATGTGTGTGTGTGTGTGTGTGTGTATATATATATATATATATATATATAGAGAGAGAGAGAGAGAGAGAGCGAGATGGTAGTATTTAGTTTTTATTTTTTTGCATTAAGAAAACAATTTTTTACATTTATTTGCTTTCTTTCTTTTCTTTCTGTTTTTTAACATGATATACTCTTTTATTCTAAAATTTGGACACTATGAAATTTGTAAATTAATCGAGTTAATTATTATTTGGATAAAAATTATGAATACATACTTGTTATTCAGAATATGTATTCAAAGTCTTTCAAAATAGTCACCCATGCTTTTAAGCTTTAGTTTTTTGAAGAAAGCATAACACAAGTCTTAAGTCCCAAAAGTCACGAGAAACATAACGTTTGACTAGTAGTTTATAAATATTGCAATTTAAATATAAATGCTGCGAAAATGTCACAGTGCAAATAAATCTTAATGGTCCTAAAATGTATCTTTTTTCTTTCTTTTGATTTTGGGATGAAATATGACTCCGACATGTTTTATGAGATTTACCCCTCAGGCTCAGTGATTTTAGTATCAGTGACGGTCCATTTTGAGGACGGTAGATTCAACTCATTCTCATGTTGCTCTCTTCTGTTTGGTTCATGATGTTATGGCAACTGTTGTTGATTGGCATCCTTTCAGATGTGGTCTAGATGCGGCTTGAAGTAGCTATATCAGTATGGCATCTCATTGGTGATTTATGGATGACTAACTCCAGTTGGACACATTCCACAGCACCTGGTTTGTCGAGGGTGGATGTATTACCACGTTTTCACAAGTAAACAGTCATAAATACATGGAGAGGTGGATGCATTTGGAACGTGTTTGGCAATGCTTGCACTCTTAACTGAGTGTGTTTTTGTTGGTCAGATTGCTTAAAAGATGGCATAATATGAACATAATGATCTAATAACAGAGGTTTTGACGGGCTTGATTTAGGCGAATAACTGTGGATTAGGTTGGTAATCCATAACTGGATTAACACTAGTAAATAGATATGTTGTTATATAGCTTTAAGCATCTTTATTGGAGAATTGCAAGGTGACTTGACGTGCTAGAGAGGCAGTGCTGGTGTTGTTACTCAAAGGGCCGTCACAAAGCTGAGAAATACCAGAGCAGTGTTGTGGTGTCTGTGTTAGTCTCAGCGGTGAGGTCATCCTCGAATCATCCATTTAAGATGGATCAAAAGCACTGAGATGCATTGTGCACGGCTCCCCCTGCTGGTGCAGTACTGATAAGATTCATCAAGTGCTTTGCAAACTAATCTAAATCCGCTTTACTCATGGCCAGTGTTGGGGAAAGTTACTTTTAAAAGTAATGCATTACAATATTGCATTACTCCATAAAAAGTAACTAATTACGTTACTTAGTTACTTTTTATGGAAAGTAATGCATTTCGTTACTTTTGCGTTACTTTTTAA